ATAAGGTTCTAAAGGTGAAAAATGGGGATATAAATAAAATAATTGTAGTGTGATCACACGACTTAAGTTATTCAAATGCTTTAATTTATTTATCTGTTAAGTATTAATGAGGCTGACTCTTTATTTAGAGGTAGAACTGTAGCCTATTTATTTATTTTTTTGACGGACAAAGTGTTGATAATACTATTTACTTGGTATTATAATATGGTTTACATTCACTCTGGGTAACTTAAATCATGTAAAATGTATTTAACTATGTAGTAAGTTTATAAGTATGAATTTAAATTTCAACCAAATTATGTGAATCCATTTAATATACAGTACAATCTTTAATACCATTAGGAAACAAAACAAAATTGTATCTAGCTATTAAGTTATAATGTTGTATTATGCGCCTTATGAATCCACTGATTGATTGATTAGATTGATTGATACTACCAGGGAGTAGTCATACATAATTAATTATACTAAAATAATTATCAGAATCATTATCCTCATCATCAAAATTATCTTCCTCATCATCAACAACAACGCCATCACCATTGTTGTATTATGCGCCTTATGAATCCACTGATTGATTGATTAGATTGATTGATACTACCAGGGAGCAGTCATACATAAATAATTATACTAAAATAATTATCAGAATCGTTATCCTCATCATCAAAATTATCTTCCTCATTATCAACAACAACGTCATCACCATTGTTATCATTATATTGATTTTATTATTAAAATATTATATTACTGTATTAAATATCGTTATTGTTTATACGTAGGCCTATTGTAATGTATCATTATTTTAAAACTTCTATTTTTCGGGGTTATTCATTTCCTGGAGCCTACATGTCTCGAAATTTGTTAATTGACATTTATGCCTGTTATGTATTTAATAATGTTTTATATATTTTTCTTTTTCGTATTTCAATCGTTATTTTGGACGCACTTTAAAAGGACGTGTGCGTAATAGGCCTACTGCTGTGTGCAGTCCAGGCGCGTTTTTACCAAAAACAGAACACGAGCGGTAGGTGATCTTTTTTAACTCCACTTGACTTCTGCATGAAAGTCCATTCGGGCTCTCTCGGACTGACTTGATTCGAGTTCGTTACGAACCGTGTCGAAACAAGTTAAAATCATTAGGAACAAGAACAGGCACTTCACAACATCGCACGACCCTCTAATAATATAATATTGTTCTTTTTCGGTTTATCTAGGTCTACGCCTATACCTAAACTTGCCTATGAAATTTTACCGATTTATCGGATATACGTACGCCTGTCTTATTATATTATTAAATATTAGTATTTCTAGCTACAACAGTAGTTTCTTTTATAGTTTAGTGTAGTACCGTAATAAAAAAAATATATGCTATTTTTTACTTGTGTGATGTGTTCAATGTTTTCCCCCGCCCCTCTATATTGGATAATGTAATTTCAAAGAATTCAATTTTTATTAATACTTGTGTAAATTGAACATAATATAGTTTAATCAGATTGTTTATATTTCAATTCATAGTCGTTGTGCATCTTATTTTATG